CTTGCTCGAGACTCGACCCATCAAGCGTTGCACAATGATGTGCCTTCGCTAACAGGAAGAGCTTCAAGAGCTAGGCAGAGAGAATTAACTACATGTTTTTATGCATTTTCCGATCAGTCATCATTAGACATGCAGAATATTGAATGTCTGCAGATCATTGAATGTTCGCAGATCACGCTGCCCAGCCAGCAATATATAGAACTGTTTGACAAGTCTTACAGTGTTAATCACAGCTTGCTTGCTTCTTGCTTTTTCGTCCATCAATTTGCAGATTATTGAATGTCTCTCCATCTTATAAGCAGATCATTTACCTCTTTAGCGCCTTGCTCGAGACTCGACCCATCAAGCGTTGCACAATGATGTGCCTTCGCTAACAGGAAGAGCTTCAAGAGCTAGGCATAGAGAATTAACTACATGTTTTTATGCATTTTCCGATCAGTCATCATTAGACATGCAGAATATTGAATGTCTGCAGATCATTGAATGTTCGCAGATCAAGCTGCCCAGCCAGCAATATATAGAACTGTTTGACAAGTCTTACAGTGTTAATCACAGCTTGCTTGCTTCTTGCTTTTTCGTCCATCAATTTGCAGATTATTGAATGTCTCTCCATCTTATAAGCAGATCATTGAGTTTTAATAAGCAGATCATTTACCTCTTTAGCGCCTTGCTCGAGACTCGACCCATCAAGCGTTGCACAATGATGTGCCTTCGCTAACAGGAAGAGCTTCAAGAGCTAGGCAGAGAGAATTAACTACATGTTTTTATGCATTTTCCGATCAGTCATCATTAGACATGCAGAATATTGAATCTCTGCAGATCATTGAATGTTCGCAGATCACGCTGCCCAGCCAGCAATATATAGAACTGTTTGACAAGTCTTACAGTGTTAATCACAGCTTGCTTGCTTCTTGCTTTTTCGTCCATCAATTTGCAGATTATTGAATGTCTCTCCATCTTATAAGCAGATCATTGAGTTTTAATAAGCAGATCATTTACCTCTTTAGCGCCTTGCTCGAGACTCGACCCATCAAGCGTTGCACGATGATGTGCCTTCGCTAACAGGAAGAGCTTCAAGAGCTAGGCAGAGAGAATTAACTACATGTTTTTATGCATTTTCCGATCAGTCATCATTAGACATGCAGAATATTGAATGTCTGCAGATCATTGAATGTTCGCAGATCATTGAGTCTTTATCACGCTGCCCAGCCAGCAATATATAGAATTGTTTGACAAGTCTTACCGTGTTAATCACCGCTTGCCCATCCATACAAGAGAATTCCTCATTCGGACATCATTAGACAAGTCTTATAAAAGACAATTTATCCCCATCAATTTGCAGATTATTGAATGTCTCTCCATCTTATAAGCAGATCATTTACCTCTTTAGCGCCTTGCTCGAGACTCGACCCATCAAGCGTTGCACAATGATGTGCCTTCGCTAACAGGAAGAGCTTCAAGAGCTAGGCAGAGAGAATTAACTACATGTTTTTATGCATTTTCCGATCAGTCATCATTAGACATGCAGAATATTGAATGTCTGCAGATTATTGAATGTTCGCAGATCACGCTGCCCAGCCAGCAATATATAGAACTGTTTGACAAGTCTTACAGTGTTAATCACAGCTTGCTTGCTTCTTGCTTTTTCGTCCATCAATTTGCAGATTATTGAATGTCTCTCCATCTTATAAGCAGATCATTGAGTTTTAATAAGCAGATCATTTACCTCTTTAGCGCCTTGCTCGAGACTCGACCCATCAAGCGTTGCACGATGATGTGCCTTCGCTAACAGGAAGAGCTTCAAGAGCTAGGCAGAGAGAATTAACTACATGTTTTTATGCATTTTCCGATCAGTCATCATTAGACATGCAGAATATTGAATGTCTGCAGATCATTGAATGTTCGCAGATCATTGAGTCTTTATCACGCTGCCCAGCCAGCAATATATAGAATTGTTTGACAAGTCTTACAGTGTTAATCACCGCTTGCCCATCCATACAAGAGAATTCCTCATTCGGACATCATTAGACAAGTCTTATAAAAGACAATTTATCCCCATCAATTTGCAGATCATTGAGTCTTTAAAGCAGATCATTGAGTTTCTCCCCACTAATTTGCAGATCATTGAGTTCTGTTAAAGAACATTTATTCTCCATCAATAAGCAGATCATTGAGTCTCAGAGCAGATCATTGAATTTATCCTTCTCAGACATAATTAGAAAAGCCTTGATGAAGGCAGTTCTATGCAGAAACTTGAATTTTATATTTATGCTGCCCAGCCAGCAATATATAGAACTCTTACTGTTTCACAAGTCTTACAGTGTTAATCACAGCTTGCTTGCTTTTTCGTGCTGCCCAGCCAGCATTATTGAATATCATATCTCAGTGAGATGTATAATGATGTGCCTTTAGTGCCTCATCTCTATCTTTCACTTTCATGCTTTGCTCGAGCCTCGACCTATCAAGCGTTGCACAATGATGTACCTTCGCTAACAGGAAGAGCTTCAAGAGCTAGGCACAGAGGATTAACTACATTATTCATAAAGTCTCCCATCAATGTTGCAGATCATTGAGTTCAATTAAAGAACATTTATTCTCCATCAATAAGCAGATCATTGAGTTCTATTAAAGAACAATTATTCTCCAACAATTTGCAGATCATTGAGTTTTAGCGCAGATCATTGAATTAGAAAAGCCTTAATGAAGACAGTTCTATGCAGAAACTTGAATTTTATATTCATGCTGCCCAGCCAGCAATATATAGACGATTAGACAAGACTTACGGATTTCAATCAAATCTTGCTTGTCTTAATTAGACAAGACTTACAGATTTCAATCAAAATGATGCTTGCCTTAAATTAGACAAGTCTTACAGATTTCAATCAAAATGATGCTTGCCTTAAATTAGACAAGTCTTACAGATTTCAATCAAAATCTGCTTGGCTTACATAACTTGACAAGACTTACGGATTTCAATGAAAATGATGCTTGTCTTAAATAATTAGACAAGTCTTACAGATTTTAATCAAAATCTGCTTGGCTTACATAACTTGACAAGACTTACGGATTTCAATCAAAATGATGCTTATCTTAAATAATTAGACAAGTCTTACAGATTTCAATCAAAATCTGCTTGCCTTACTTAGGCAACATCCGGACAATTTCCCCAATTTAGAAACCGGACATAACACAATCAGATAATGTGCTGTCCCTTTCCTTTGGGTTAAAAGAAAACAAAACAAAATTCTTGACAATAGATGAAAACATTGAACAGAAACGTATACATAAAAACAACTAAGTATACAATGACAGAGAATCTAATGATTACAATCACAAAGTCAAGAGAGGTCTTGAACAGAATATCACTTACATGGCTTGGAGAAATTTGCATTCCAGTTAGCAGATTCACAAGTCTAGTGCCAAATCTGAATTTCAGAGTCTCAGGGTTCACACTTCCTACAATGAGAATATAAACATCACACTTTTTTTTTATATGAATAATCAATCTGAAGAGAGAAGTGAGAAATGATTACCTGTTGTTCTACGTTCATAATCTATGATCTCCATCACTAAACCAAAAAAGGAAAGACATGAATCATCATCCTTCAACATATCCATTAAACAAAATAAAACAGTTTAGCATCCATAGGTCATTAAGAAGCTATAGGCAGGGTCACAAATATATGTTTCTATATATACTTTATCAAACAAAAGCGTGTAAGCAGTTAAGTGACCATTCCATGGTTTGGTTTTCCTCTGTGAATCACTTCAAAAACAAAGATTTGTATCAAGTTCTGATTCAATATCGATTCTATAAGCAGATACATTAACACAAATCATGTCATACAAACCAACAAATTCCCCAACTGCTAAATGTGAAATCAAAAGAAATAAAGAGGAAGAATCATACGATGAGCATCATTTGGCGTGAACTTCATCTTCATCACAGCAATATCCCAACAACTTGACGAGTGTCTTGTGTTTTAGCTCCCCAGCTTCTTGTGCCTGTACCTGACAAAGATCGAAAGAAACATAATCGAAACCATTAAAAGAGATGTCAATTGGAGAATTGTTAAAAAGGCAAAAAAAAAAAAAAAAAAAAAAAGTGTACCTCGAAGCCCTCATGATCATGAATTTCTTAACAGCAACGAAGCCAAGATTCTCTGATAAGCGAACTCTGTGAAAGGCCAGTCATTGAATCCGTTGTTCTTACGTTCGCCGTCCTGAATCCATAGAAATTTATACAAATCTTTAAAACCCTAATAAGAACCAAAATCTTTCAGAAAGTAAGTAAACGAATTAAGAAATCACCGAGGATTATAAAAGAGGGCTTTTGATTAAAAACCCTAATTTGTAACAACAAAGGTGAAAGAACACAACGATAAAAGATTTCGCGAAATTAAAATTAGAGAAACGCAAATACGAAAATAAAACCCCTCCGATCGGAGAAAACACGGATCCAAAACAGTGTTTCTGGAATTGTTTGATAAAACAAACTATAATCGAAGTTTCTGAATCTAGAAAAAAAAGATTTCGAAAATCTAAAAAACACGCAAAATCAAGCAATTAAATTCGACAGAAACCCTAAATAATTGAAAACCTGGCGATGACGAAGATGATCTTCGGAGAAATTTTTTGAGATTACGATATGAGAAGGAGCCACAAAAGCGTAATGACCGTTGTCTATTAGAAAGACGGTGATTGTCTCGTTATATTATTATGTTGGGCCGATTGTCTCGTTATATTATTATGTTGGGCCTTAAACGAACATTAGCCCATATCTCTTCATTGTTTGGTTTTTTTTTTTGTATAACCTTTTTCAATATTTTAAAACAAAATTAATAGGTTTGGTCGTTTGGATGTCAAAAATAAATAATTGTTTTACATAATATTGAATTGATCTGTAACGAGTAACGACGCCGTTTTGCAGTTTTTTTTCTGTTGTACTTGAGTTCTTTCTTATCTTCTCCACTTCTCCTTCCTCTGGTCTTTCACTTAAACCCTAAAAATCTCTGGTAGTCAGATTGGTCTATCAATGGGAGAATCTTCAACTACCGTTTTCTAATAGCTCTTCGTTTCTCCACCGGAAAAGTTCGATTTTTTCTCTCCTGTTTACTCCGAAATCATGTACTGTAATTTAACAAGAAGCCAAGGATTTCCAATGGCGATTAGGGTTTCATTACAACAAACAACACTCAAAAGCTGTTTCCAGTTCTCAAAGTCTTCTTATTTACCAGTTAAGTTTCATTTAAACCCTAAAGGAAGAGCCTTTGCAAATGTTTCGACTGGTTTAGTTAGTTCTCGTCTTAATTCTATGAAGATTGGAATGTTGAGGAAACCTGAAAGTGTTAGAGAGTTTTCGAGTTTTGATTCTCAGAGATTTGGCAAACGAAGTAGTAATAGTGGTAGAGGGAAGTCAGGATTAGGATCCAAAGCTTTCCGAGATAAGAGAAGTGGCGGTAATGGCCGTTCTAGTGGAGATTCAATTTGGGTGAAGTCTGATGAGAAACCAGTGGAAGAAAGGTTTCAGAGAGGTGATAGGCCTTCTTGGGAGAAACGAGATGGTAGAAGTGATTCGGTTTCTGATAGGAGAAGTAGATTCAGAGGTTATGGTGAAACGAGGAATCGAGATTCTTTTCGTGGTCGAAGAGATGATAGAATCAGTGAAGTGGAAGAAGAAAGTAAGAAAGGTAGTGGGAATTCAATTTGGGTGGCTAGTAATGATGATAAACCGGCGAAAGAGCAATTGCCAAGAGTTAACAACCGGTCATCTTGGGATGATAGAACAAGAGATCAGAATTCTTTTAGTGCCCGAGGTGACGATAGAATCGCGGAAGAAGTAGAAGAGGAAACAATGAATCATGCCCATGAAGATGGTGATGAAGAACCAGATAATACTAGGTGGTCTGAGATCAAAAATAGGTTCAATAGATATGATGTAAGAGATCAAGGACGTGATAATGCAGCATATCGAAACTGGAATAGGCAAGAGAGCTGGGGTAGGAAAACATGGCAAGAAGCGACTGAGTCAAGTGTGCCTAGGCTGGAGGGTGAAGTGGTTTATGGAGTAAGTCCAGTGTTGGCTGCACTCTCTGTTGGGAGACGAGAGTTTTATGCTCTTTATGTCCAAGAAGGTTTAGATTTGAGCAGTAACAATAGGAAGAAGAAAGACAAGAAAGGGTTCGAGAAAGTTTTGAAAATCTCTGAAAAGCTCGGGTTAAACATCAAGGAAACATCGAAGCATGATCTTAATATGGTAGCTGATAACAGACCACATCAAGGATTGGTGCTCGATGCTTCACCGTTGGAACTGGTGAAAGTGAAAGAACTAGATCCGATTTCATCAGAGGAAGAGAAATATTCTCTTTGGGTAGCTCTTGATGAGGTCACTGATCCGCAGAACTTAGGCGCGATCATAAGATCTGCTTACTTTTTTGGAGCAACGGGTGTTGTGGTATGCGCGAAAAACTCAGCTCCATTAAGTGCAGTTGTGAGTAAAGCAAGTGCTGGATCACTCGAAGTTATGGAACTCAGGTACTGCAAAAACATGATGCAGTTTTTAGAAGCTTCTGCTGAGAACGGTTGGCGTGTGGTTGGTGGTTCGGTGTCTCCAAAGGCTGTTGCTTTGAACGAGGTTTTACCCGGCAGCCCGACAATACTTGTCTTGGGGAATGAAGGAACAGGTTTAAGGCCATTAGTAGAGCGATCATGTACCGAATTAGTCAGGATTAGTGGTAATATGCCCAACGATGTTGCAGTTACAGAGTCTGATGATGCAGAAGGTGAAGGCTTCAGATCATTTCTTGCCGTGGAAAGCTTGAACGTGAGTGTCGCAGCTGGTTTGTTTCTTCATCACTTAATAGGCAACAAAGCAAGTGCTTGATTCCTCCTTGCGTTCTTCGTATCAATTACATTTTTGCACCAAACTTGGGATTTGCTCTTTACTTGTATAACTTTATGCTCTCATTCTATGGCTATTTTACGAAAATCTATTGTTTTCCTATCATGACCTGATCTATCTATGCTCGAAAAGCCGCATTATCGATGTTCTAATGTTGTGTTGCGTCAGTGAAGAGATACAAACAAATAAGTAATTTAGATTAATTTAGCGTTAATCAGCACTATATTCTGAAAATACCCATGTTGCTTCTAACAAATTATTTTGTCAGTTTTCGTTTTTTGCCAAAAAAGAGCTTCCTCATTCTCAATTTACTTTTTGCCACATTATAACGTTTTATCTCAAATTGGCTAAAATTTGGCATGTTCTATTAAGTCATTGAGTTACCAATTCTCTAGATTTGAGTTACCAAGTGGTCCAAGACTCCAAGTCATTGAGTTCCCATTTAATAATATACGGTCAAAATGGTTAAAAGACTAAATACGGTTCATGTTTGTAGTGAAGTAGATTTCTACACCACATTATATTCCCTTGCTTTTTGTCTTGAGAATTTTTTTTTTTTTAAAAGGAAATGGACCCAAAACATGAAATGGGTACCACTATATCCTTTTCTAGGGATAGATAGCACAAGTAGCATGGTCCAGTTCAACATGGGAATTTAGATATACTATTTAGTGTTTGATTGGTAGTTCTTATTTGAGGTAGTTAATACCGGCAAGTTAAACAACTTTTTTGGTTATCAATCATATGAATGATACAACGGACGATTTAAATAGATGGTTTGCAGTTGATACAAAATTTACATACTTGCATATCATTTGAACTAACAAAATTTTTGAGTTGATTTAAAAAAAAAAAGAAATTTATCGTTCTTATAAAAATTATAGTAATAACTAAGAATTAAAAAATAATAATAATAAACTAAGAATTTTTACAACATAATTTATTGTTAACTTCTAATATTTTCAAAATTTTAAATCTGATTTACAATATATTCAACAATCATTTACCATGCTAAGTAAACATTTTAAAATTTTAATTGTTTTGTCCAAATGAATATCAATCAATTCTTTTTTAGTTTAAATCTCTTTTCTAGAAAAAGACCCTAGATAACTCTAATTACACATCTTCAATTAAAAAACATTGGAAATTTGGTATAGTGGTATATATTTTTATTGTCACGAAAAATGTTTGTTTACACACACGATCATAATCCATTGAAGTCAATTTCTTGCGATATACGTAGTTGATTTCTTGTACACAAGCAAATCTAGTTACGTACATTAGCAAACAATGTTTCGATTGGTCCGAGTGATTGTTTGACCGTGATCGAAAAATAAACACACAATTTGAATTAATTAGCTTTGAAAATATGTAATTACAATGCTTAAAATAGTTCAAAGAAGAACATCAAAAAATAGTTTTGTTCACTAGCAATATAATATATGTATCATTTACATTAGTATGATAGTATCAATCTAACTCGATAACAGGCCATATGTTTTACCACCAAATTTGATTTGAAAAACATGGCAAGGAAACACAATAATATTTTATAGTCACATCAGAGAAGAAGATGCATAGAATATACCTAGAAAATATTCAATTCGCAAAGGAGATCAATGATTAGGTCATAGGAGTAATAAATTATAGAATAAAAATTTGTGGGAAAATAATAAAATAAAATCAAGAATAGAAATTGGGTTGTCAATTTTTAAAACACACATGTATCTAAGCTGTCACCACTCGTGATACTCTGTTCGAAAAGGACATCTTCAGATTCGGCATCACATTCTGGCATCTTTGCCGCCAAAATTACTTTATTATATAAATAATATTTTCCTCTTGAGTAAGAATAATCCTTCACGAGAAAGTAAAAACTTTCATCTTGCGAGCAAAAGTAGTTTACGCGTTTAGTGTGATTTATGCAAAAGAAGTGACATTATTAAACTGTAAATGGTAATGCTTATAAGTTTGTTTGATTCGGAATAACTACACTAAACATATTTGATCATTGTTTAGGTGAACCTTCAAATATTTTAAAAAGTTCATGAGTATGAGTAGGTGTCTTTAATTTGGAGATTAATTTCATGTTTTGATGGTTAGATTTATCTTCAAGAGTGTGATTCGACATTTGAAAAATAAAATAACATGCACCAAAAAATGGTAGAGAAATTATCAGCACAATATATATATGTAATTTCCCTAGAATTACTTAATATGATTTCATAGACCAGATTATTAAGTCTAGGTTCGAATCGATATGTTACATGCATTGTTGAGAGACGACATGACATGGATAAATTACACGGTCAGAAGAATTTCTCCGAGACCACACTGCTACAGCTGACGATGAAATACCATCCATAGTGCCACACATTTAATAAAACTATATATGTTACCAACCTCACACATAACATGATCTAGTTGATTAACCTACTATAGAAACCTATGTGAATAAGCAATTCTTCCAAAAAATATTGTCTAATTATGTTTTAGGGCTTTCGAATATAATAGCTATGAAATCATTACTAAGATGCAAGTTAAGAAGCACATGAACCATTTCACGTGCAATGAAGATGTTGTCAACTTGTCATTTACCAATAAACATGTTACTATTGCAATCTTAGGTCAAGAGCATCATTGTTTGTCGAAACAAAACTTCCAAATATCATTATCCGCCAAGCATGTAGCAATATGCATATGATTCGAGCCCATCATCTCCAAATGATCAAAATCATCCACCATTTCCAAAACTTCAATCAACATCGACATGAAACTCATTGAAGTCACCGATCACAAACCGTAGTTCATCTTTCAAGATCCCAAACCGAATAAATCACTCCTACACTTCTTGTCTCAAATGTCGAATCGCATCTCCATACACAAAGAAGATGAAAATAAAAAGCATTCAAAACTTGCACATCAATTATCCGTTTGTTTGGATAACAAATATCTAATTTAGAAGAATCTTTCCAGAACATAACCAATCCAACACTTAAACCAATACAATAATCCTACCAGTTGACACATGGTCACTAGAGTTTATAATCTTTTCAATGAACCAAATAAAAGTTTTCTAACGTGTTTTTAGGTGTCAAATTATCATCAGGATATTCTTTGATCCCTGACAAAAATCTCTTCGTTTAATAGCAATAAATTTTAGTTTACTATACAAAAAAATTGAAAAATTAAAATGCAAATAGATATATACAACACGTAACCATACTTTTTTGACATAATACAATCATATATATTTCTTTTAACAGAATATATATTTCCGTAATTATTGGGAATAATTTCTTTTTAAGTTGATGACAACAAAACAAATCTTAATTTAAAATTTAAATAGAAGGTGCTGATTCTTAAAGATTTATGAATATTTAAAATAAAAATAGTAAATTTTTTGAATTAAAAAAAGGAAGAGGAAAAAGGGATGTGTCCATGATTGAATGGTGAATTGTGTGATTCCTTTTGAAAAATATTATAAGTTTAGTTTTTTTTTTTGTTCTTCTCTCTGGATTTTCGCTGGTCCGTCAATGGTGATCTGAGAGAGACTCTTTCACGAATCTAATTGGTTTCTATGTGTGACAGAGAGAGACAAGGAGACGAATTTCAAATCTAGGGTTTCTCATTTTTTGCTCCTCTGTTCTCTCTTTTTCTCAATCCTTAATTGTCGCGAGGAAGAAGACGACGTTGAATACAAGGGAGAGGGAAGAAGAAAAAGAAATATAGACGAAAGATGTCTACATTGGACTCCATTGATGCGATTCTCTTCTCTCTTAGCAGAGCTTTTACAAGCCCTTTCGCTGTCTTCGTTCAGATCCAGGTGAACTTTTTTTTCTTTTGTTGTTGTTGTTGGTTCCGATCCAAAGTTTGGTCCTTTTCTCTTTCAAAATTTTGAATTTTGCTTGCTCTTCTGAATCACACGTTCGGATTCCAAAAAACCCAATTCGTTTGTTTTTCTCTTACGTTGGTTCAGATCGAAAGTTTGGTCCTTTTCTATTTGAATGTTGAGGTGAAGATACGTTTTGTTCTCTAAAGTTTTGCAAAGTAATGATTTTTATGTTCCGTATGAAGCGTAGAGGAGAAGAAATTGAACGTTTGTTTGATGAATCAAATATAATTTTTTTGCATCACCAATGTATTTCAGGAAGAATGAATGGTTCAGATCATATAGATCCTATCAGTTTTTGGCTAAATGTCTTTTCTTTAACTTGTTTGATCAAGCAATTGTGTTCTTAATGTTACTTTTATATGCCTCAGGGGTGTACAATATGCTTACTTCTTGCTCTCGGCTGGTTAATGGCTGAATATGTCAGGTAGTGTCTTTTACCTTCAAAATGCTTGATTTTGATGCTATTTTGATTTTACAATCTGAATTTTGTTTTCTGAAATGTGTTTGTGTTTTATCTCTACCTCTAAGGAACCGTGAGGTTAAGAGAATTAAAAAAAGCATAAAAGCGGGCAATAGCTTGGCGTTTCTTTATCAAGATATCAATGAACTTGAGCACTCTAGGCAGGAAAAACTTCCCAGAGTTTCTGTTGTCATGCCTCTAAAAGGTTTTGGAGAACACAATTTACACAACTGGAGAAGTCAGGTCAGTCCCTCATGTTGCAGTATCATTGTCTCCTTTTCTAGGCAGAGTTTTTTTCTTTTCTTTTCATCATGGTTAAGCTTTTTACCAGAGAAGTTTGTTGCTTCCAACTTAATTTTGAATATTGATCCATGTGTAGATTACTTCTCTCTATGGTGGGCCATTGGAATTCCTTTTTGTTGTAGAAAGTACGGAAGACCCTGCATATCACGCTGTTTCCCGTCTATTATCTATGTATCAGGTACATTACACATATTTCAACATATCATTGTGGTCATGTAATTTCTTTTCTAACGATGAAAGTATAGTATACAAAAGTTCAACTCATAGTCCATATGGCCTTCTTTTGTCTTGAAGTATCTACTGACTCCACATCTTTCCTAATCAATCCTCAATATACACAGGATCATGTTGAAGCTAAGGTTGTAGTTGCTGGTTTATCGACAACTTGTAGCCAGAAAATTCATAATCAGTTGGTATGTATGATCTTTGAAGCAGATCTAATCAGTTGCACTAGTGCATTTTTTTTTTCTCCCAACATTTTCATCTCCTTTGTGACTGTTCTTGAATCAACTGTAATCACAACCATGAAAAGCTAAACTATATTCCAACATACAATTTTAAATTTTGTTCTTCATTCATTGGCTTTCACTGAATTTTCATGTTTCTGGCTTCTATTTCTTGAAGATTGGAGTTGAAAAAATGCACAAAGATACCAAATATGTGTTATTTTTGGATGATGATGTTAGACTGCACCCTGGAACAATCGGAGCTCTCACGACTGAGATGGAGAAAAATCCAGAGGTGGTACCCAAACTACAGAATTCCTGAATGAATTGGCTTAACTTTTCTATCTACATTTCTTCCTTTTTCTGTTTCTGTTTACATGTATAAAAGAACATAGCTAATGATTATCTTTCCTTCTGTTTGAATTTGTTTAACAGATATAGTGATTTCTTGCAGATATTTATTCAAACTGGGTATCCTCTAGACTTGCCGTCTGGGACTCTTGGGAGTTATTGTATCTATGAGTACCACATGGTACAGTGGATCTAATCACTGGCTTCTTTTATCAAGTTGTTAGATTCTTCATAATTATAGCATATCGTAATTTGAGCTAATATTTGGCATGTTCACTTTACAGCCTTGCTCAATGGGATTTGCGACTGGTGGAAGAACATTCTTTTTGTGGGGAGGGTGTATGATGGTATGTAGATAACATGGTATATATAATGTGTGTTTTGTATTCCCTGCTACATCTAATTTTGGTTTATGTTTGCAACTATTTGTAGATGCATGCCGATGATTTCAGACAAGATCGGTACGGTGTTGTCTCTGGCTTACGTGATGGTGGATATTCAGATGATATGACACTTGCCTCTCTAGCAGGTAACATTTGCTTTGAATTTCCCTCCAATTTGTAGTTGACAGTTTTTTCTTGTTTCCATTGACCTTCTTCTTTCCAGGTGCTCACAAGAGGCTCATTACATCTCCTCCTGTTGCTGTTTTCCCTCATCCTCTCGCAAGTGATCTAAGTTTTGGACGGTACATTCTCTTATTTACTTGTTCGAAACAAAAGGTACTGAATATTCAGATGCTTAACAATTTTTGTTCTTTTTTTTGTTTCATAGATACTGGAACTACTTGAGAAAGCAAACCTTTGTGCTAGAATCTTACATATCCAAAGTCAACTGGATAATGAACAAGGCTTTGTTTGCCGTCCACTGTTATCTTTCATGGGGTTTTGTTGCACCATATGTTATGGCTGTCATTCACATCACATCAGCTTTAAGAATCTACATCAAGGGCTATCATCAACTTGAAGACACGACCTTTGCTTCTAGTGGTGAGCATACTTTTCTTCTTATTTAGTAGGTGGGTTATATGTTCAAGATAACAGAAGTTTGTTCTAGTGCCACGATAATTTCTCGTGTGTTGGGGGATCTTAGAACTGCTGCATTGCATGTGGAGCATAGTGATTTGTCATCTTCAACTTAAATTGTAGGATTGTCTGTTTTTCTTATGCTACATACTGACCCGGAGGATGAGGTTCTATGTAGGTATGATGCTTGTTATAACGTTGGCGATCTGTACCTTCATCGAGCTTCTTTCAATGTGGAATTTGACGAGACGAGAAGTTCAGCTATGCAATATGTTATCCCCTGAGGCTCCCCGTCTTTCTCTTGCAACTTATAATTGGGGACTTGTACGTGTTTTCATCCCCCTTTATTGATTAGATTATGGATATGGTGATGATAGATATGGAGGTAACATTTTCGTTTTGGCTGGGGGAAAAATTACAGGTTTTTGTAGCAATGCTTGTAGACAACTTCCTATACCCGATCTCAGCTTTCCGTTCTCACTTTTCTCAATCCATAAACTGGTCTGGAATCCGATACCACTTGAAAGATGGAAAGATATTCAAGGTAAATCATTTGTGTCTCCAAATAGTTTCCTCGTACATTTCACTTGTCTTGAATATGTAATGTTCGCCTAGAGAAGTGTATCTGTAATTGTTTGCAATGTAATATCAGATTGAGAGACGAAAGGATATGGGACCAGCAAAGACCGATTTAGGAGGCAAACATTTGTATGGTAAGAAAGGAGCTCCTCAGAAAGCTTCTTTCTTAAGCTCATTGGGAAGAAATTTGGCTCACTGGCGACAACCAAAAAAATTCGATGTTTAAAAAGTACGTATTTATACAGTAGAAGAAAGCTCAAAAGTCATTCTTGCCCGGGAATTCGCGGGTAAACTGATGATTCTTTGCGATGTTGGTGATTCTTTTTCAAGAAGGGGAAGAAGATTTGATCTTGTTTTAATTTTTTTTTTTTGGTTGGCTTCAAAATGTTTATTGGTGAAGAAAGGCATTATTCCCCTTTGGTAAATTTTTATTTATTGATCTCTTTTTTTTTTTTTTTTTTTTTTTTTTTTTTTTTTTTTTTTTGGGCAAAATCTCTCTGTTTATTTTATTATGGTTTTTTTTTTTACTTAGCCGTTTTGAGATGAAATATATTGCTCACCATCTTAATTCATCACCTTGATTTCTGTAATTTTTGGTTCTTCATCTTTTTAGTTTGTTGTGTATCATACAAATGTTTAATCCAATTATAATTCGCATTCTTGCCTTGTTTTCTAGTTTTCTGAATTATCAAAATTTTAAATTGAAGATGAATTTCTGTTCACAATTTTATGTCATATCATCCATTTAGTCTACTTTGTTCAATGTTTATTTAAGCGCCGGAATCGTGTTATACGGAGGTGAATGTCTTTTTTACTTGAAACTCTCTCGTATATATCTCCTTGGCTACTTTTATATGTATTGTGTAATCCTGATCTCCGTTTATATATAGTGCCAGGGGTCAAACGTGTGAGAGTTCGTAAGATGTTAAGTCACATTTGTTTATGGTCATTAGATAATCGTGCACCATCAAATTTGTTGGTAATCTCTAAAAACATCACACAAGAACCGGAGCTCATCAAGGTTCTTCAAGCATTGAGATCGAAGAATCACAATGTTCTCGTAGCACAGCCGCCTGATTGTAATGTCGAAACGGTAGTGCTACTTCAAACGTCTGTAAGCTCATCCGTATGGCGTTCGAGAATCCTACTTGATCGAGGAATCCTTACCGAACAAAGCGGAAGCTCACAACATGTTGTTAGTACGGTGGCGGATCTAGGAAATAATTTTACCCGTGGCAATAATATTAACCTTAAAAAAAATCGTTTCTTACAAACCCCATAAAAAATACGAACAAAAAAATAATACTTTACGAAAGTAACCCACGATCACTCATAAATCGAAATCTTCTTATCACTTTTCACATTAGTGACAGATCCAAATAAATCTTTGTCAACATAACATACGAAGCAATCACTTAAAATTGGTTTCCAATTCAGCTCTTTCTAAGCCAAGACACTAAATCCAATTATAATGATCATCATGGTTGTCTTGGATTTTTAATTCTATATTACACATTATATATGTTTATAAATTGTAAATTTGTAAGACAAATCATTTTTGGTTTACTTTTAAACATAAACCGAATTCTCAGAGATTTGATATACAAAAATACACAAAACAATGTTCTAAACTTAAAAGTAAAAAAAAGAGAGATTGGAGTAAGAGAAAATAATAAAAATATAATAAAAGATAAATAAAACATAGAATAGAAACGTGTGTATAGAAGAAAATAAAGTTATGGGGGCAATAAGTAATATATTAACAGGGGCAAAATTAAAAAGTGTTACAAAATAACATTAGTTTTTGAAAAATTGACGGTGGCAACTGCCCCTCTATAATGTCATGTGGCTCCGCCCCTGAGTACGACTTGTGCTTGTAACGGATGCTTACAAGCTGTTGCGAATAAACTTGCCAAGAAGCGGAAGAAGCAGCAGGAGCGTAAGAAGCGGAAGAAGCGCAAGGTCACAACTACTACCAAGGGGGAGACTGAATGCAAATGATCCTCTGGTATCTCGTCTGAGTAGGATCGAAGCCGCTAATTAGCTACAGTATCTTGCGAAAGAAGTCCTTTGTGACTACTCTTGTGTGCCCAAAGTATCGTAAAACTTGACTCTATACTTTGTGACTACTCTTCATTGATCTGCTTAGCTCCTTTATTTCAGCATTCAAAAAACGTTTTTGTTGAGTAAGACAAAGGTTTGTGTCTTGATCTCTCTTGCTCTTTTTTGTCTCCATCCGTATTCTAGAATTTTGGTGGGTTGGTGTTTCTTTCTTTGGTTTCGTTGTATGGCTTCCTTGCTCTTTGGGCTTCTAGCCTCTATCCGTAGGATTTCTTTTCTTTGTGTCCCTCTATTGGGCTATTATTGGCTCGAAAGGGATTTTAAAACCTTGTTGGTTTTGTGTAATCAAGTTTCCATATACAAACCGGTCACAAAATCAAGGTTGGCATAAGTTTACATAATTGAATCACAACCACCAACTACTCTTTAACCTCTATATAACCTCTCTTTGGAGTTCTCTCTTTGCTACAAAAAAAAATCAAATCAATAAAATAATAGAGTGATCATGGCCAAGCCTTGTGCTGCATTTCTTGTCTTCCTCTGCCTTTCCATGCTCATCCTGTCAACCCCTGGTGAGTTCTCTATTCTAATAATAACAATGCCATATCATTATAAATTCAAGATATACAAAACTATCGAGCAATATTAAGGAATAAACTTACTATATATTCTGATAAATGCAGAAGTGGATGCTAAGCTATGCATGTCAATCAAAACGTTGACAAATATTAGTTGCGAGATGGACGACTGCGACTGCGACTACGACCACAAATGCGGTGAGTGGGATGATGAGAGCTATGGAAATTGCAAACAACACCATATCCGAACCGTTTGCAAATGTATCTTGAACTGTCCTGAGACTTCATCTACGTCGAAGGCCTAATAATGCATGCATATTTTCAAATCAATGAAAGAATAAAACCATCTTATTAAGGAGTCGTAAGTTTGAATGTATTGAGATTATTATAAAATATAAATACTGTGTTTCTTGTTTTTATGGCTATAAATTATAGTTATGTATGTGATCGTTGCTATGTATACAGTTTTTTTTTTTTTTTTTTGTGTGTCTTGTGAAATATTATTTATTATTATGTGGGTTTTGAATACATGATTTCGAGCAAATCAAATTTTACCATTAACTGATCCATAAGAATCACAAAGACAGAAAATTGGGATATAGCAAAAAGAAGTCTAAAAAAAAAACGAATACTATGATATTGAAAATAAAAATCGATATATGGACCTTGTTCCAAAATCTAAATGTAAAAACTAGAAAGAGAAAAAAAAAAAAAAAAAGAAGAAGAGCAAATAAGTGCAAATTTTTTATTGAAGATTTGTAAAAATGATTATTTTCATTATTTGACTAGGGGATATGGAAGAAGTACTCTAAACTATAGATTTACCAAGCGCCAAATAGTTTTACAAATTAAAACATTCATAGTAGCCAAGTGCCAACAAAAATCAAATCGTTTTGATAAATTAAAACGAATTCAAATGATGATTTTATTTTTGTTTTGCTTACTTTCTTCAATGTTTGTTTCTATACACTGGGATTATTAAGATTTGATAGATGTGTTAGTAATTGCACATTTTAAAGCGAATGTAATTCAAACAACAAATCTTGAAGGGATCTAGGAAGATGTTAATTAGAGTCGAGAAAGTCATCTTAGCTAGTGCCAAAGTATGGCAACAAGCAAAATGGTGAGAGGAGAAATATGTTAAAGGTCATACACTCACTAATGAATTGATGTACAATATTGAAAATTGGTGTCTCTATATGGAAAAACCACTCATGTTTACTCGTCAAACTAGCGATGAAATTTTTGCCATTTTTTGCCAGATATATCATTTTCATCGTTTTTCTATTAAACGTGTCAAGCAAATTCACTACAAAATCATTGTACAGTCTTATGTTGGGGTTAGGTCATAGTTTGACAAACAGGAGTGAGTATCTTTAACTTTCAGAGAGATCTTGCATGTGTTTGAACTCTCAACTTGAAAGACTAATTTATTACTGGAAATTATAGAAAAACTTGGGAATAACTGAACAAGGGATGAGAAGCACACAAAGTAGACTCTTGATTTTCAACTTTCAACGGTATAGACGGTAGGTGGGGCTGTACATGCTACTCTCTGCACACTTGACAATATCTTTCGGCCGTGGAAGCCGCCCAGCCAGACCTAGTTCATATGCCTTAGTTGCTACATTGGCTGCAATATGAGCTGATATCTTCCGGATGGCAGAGAATGAAGGATATATCATTCCTTTCTCATAGTTCTCTTTGCTTACTTGTCCAGCTAATGCCTCAGCTATTACGCGGAAACACATCATAATATTAATAAACAACAAAGCTGAGAGTTGTTTTTACTAATTTGACGTCTCTGCAATGCTTACCAGCAGCAAGAAGCATATCATCATGTACCCGTATTGCTCCTGAGATAACCAAACCAAGTCCGAACCCCGGAAATATGTACGCATTGTTCGCCTGTGTTAAGAAATGCAGAGAGCTTTTACTAACCAAGTTCCGTAAAAACCAATGGATGAAGAGAAGAGAGTTTATTTATCATATTACCTGTGTCGATACAAACACATTTCCTTCATACTCAACTGGATCAAAAGGACTTCCACTTGCGAAAATGGCACGACCCTTCATTCGAAGAAAATCAAAAAACTTATAATTTCCATTTGAGGTTAAGACATATTGGAATAATGGTACGGTGTGTAAAGACTCACCTTACTCCAAGTATAAGCTTCTTCAGCTGTACATTCTGATTGTGTTGTCGGGTTAGAGAGAGCCATTATCAGTGGTCTCTGCAAGAAACATTTTGTTGGTTTCTCTTCCTCTTTAACCAAAACCATGTTTTTATAATAATTAATAAGATCACTCATTCACTTGATAGGAAGAATAAATACCTCATTAATGGAGGACATGGCTTCTATCACTTCTTTTGTAAAAGACCGTCCAACGCCAGACGATCCAATCAGAACAGTCGGTTTTATTGCCTGATGAGACATAACACTTAAGAGGGAAGGAGACAGATCTGAGATATAAGAGGATCATGAAGCTTAAGAGGAAGAAGGTTTGAACCTTGATAGCACCTAAGAGGTCTTTGACTGGTTCATGTTCATGAGCCCATGGTTTCTTGAAGTCTTGAAGTGAATCTTTACGGGAGTTAACAATCAGTCCCTATCAGAAACGAAAACTTGCATCAAATTGTAGTTCACATGAAATGTCGTATGCACATTGTTTTTATTTCTTCTACCTTGGAATCAACAAGCCAAATTTTCTTGCGGCTTTCCTCTACTGAACCATTCATCTGCAGAAGAAAGATGAAATAAGTTGACAGCTACTACACCTTCAGAACTCGAAAATTTCAAAGAGCATTCATTACCTGTTTTGATATATAGAGAGCTATGAGTTCTGCTATTCCAGTTCCAGCCTGCAACAACCAAACAAGAAGACATATGAAAACATTGAGCAGAAGTGGACTTCATGGATCAGACTATGATTCCAAAAAGTTGATTCTTACTTCACCAGCACCAAGAAAGAGGAAGGTGTGCTCTGCAAGAGGACTATTCGTTAACTTCTGTGCGGAAACTAATCCCGCTAAAACAACTGATGCTGTCCCCTGGAATCGAAAGGCAAAGACAAAATTCTCTCAAACTACGAAGGCAACAAGAAACACAAAAAAGAGAGGTCTAAACTCTCACCTGTATATCATCGTTGAAGACGAGATGAGTATCGCGGTATTTTGCAAGTAACTCAAAGGCATTATGATTAGCAAAATCTTCAAACTGTATCAAATGGCAGATAACAAAGCATATAAAACAGCTTTATCAATAATTTATTGAATCCTTGAATTATAGAATCAAGAACCAAAATTTTACTGATTTATACCTGAATAAGAACTTTTTCGCCATAGTTCTGTTTCACAGCACTCATGAATTCATTCAAGAGTTCGCTATATTCCTGCAATGATGTTTAAAGCTACTCATTCGTGGAAGTTCATATGATCATGTTTTAAATTCTTAACAGAATAAAGTATACAAGAACAAAAGAACAAACCTGTCCCGTTGCTCTCTTTTGCCTGAGTCCTATGTAGAACTCATCATTCAACAGTTTCTCATTGTTTGTTCCCACATCAATGGTGACAGGTAAACACTGCCAAAGCAATTTAGTCTCAAGTTCCTGACTCAGAAATACTATCAAAAACCTTAGTAAAATCAAACCATTACCGCTGAAGGACGAACACCTCCAAGTGCTGAATATAACGCCAATTTACCAACCGGTATACCCATCCCCTAAAGAGAGACAAACACAAAGGCAAACAAACAATCAAAGCCATATTGAGATCACATCAAATCCAAAATGAAGCGATATCCGAGGAATACCTGACATCCAAGGTCTCCTAATCCCAAAATCCTTTCACCATCAGTAACGACAATAACTTGTATATTCCTTTCAGGCCAGTTCTTTAACACATCTAGAATCTTTCCCCTGTATGAATAGTATAAAGGTTATGAATAAAGTTTAAAGAGAAGGAAAAAAGGAAGATCATAAGATAAAGATAGAAGCAATATGTACTTGTCTTTTAAACTGATGAATAATCCCTGCGGTCGCCTGAAAATACTTCCAAATTTCTGACAAGCTTCACCAACAGTTGGAGTATAAACAATAGGAAGAAGCTCCTCAACATTATCTATCAATAGCTTGTAAAACAGTCTCTCGTTTCTTTCCTGTTTCAAGTCCAGTAACAGATTCATTTTTCTCTGAAATGCTAAACACAGCAAATTTGTAGATTATAAAGACAAGATTTTAACCTGAAGTTCTGTCAGAGCCATGTACTTTTGTAATGAAAATTGATATTGTCGGATATTATTCATCAGCCTCTTCTCCTAAATCATTTGAAACCCCGATAAACCATTGACAAAACTCATCAAATTGATGCTACTAAATTTGTTAACAAACAAACCAAATCACCAATTTTTTACCTGAAGCTTTTGATCAAGAACAACTGGAGGAAGAAGACCACGCAAGTAGTGCGTGTCTCTCTCTTTCTCAGTGAAAGCAAGTCCTTTGTTGTAGCGAGGATCTCTCAGCAATGAATATCCACTGAAACAAGAAACAGAGTTACTAACTTGAGTGTTAATTTAAACACTTAGTTATGTTACAATGGAGAAGTTCTGTTGTTACCTAGAAACAGAGAGAGACCAAGGAGTTATGTTGTGCTCAATGGTGGCTGAATCTTCTCCATACACATCAACAACGCCACCATCAACAGAGGATTTCAAATCCGAGTTGGTCACTTTCTCCATCTTGAAAGGATCAATGAACACAATCCCAAAAACAAAAGCGAAAGAAGTATATGTTTTCAGGATCACAAAGTAAGAAACTTTCCCTACTTTTCTTGGAATATAAATGGAAAGAAGAAGGTTGTGGAAAAGCCAAATGGAAGCTTGAGGATGGAGAGAGGTGTCACACTGAAGAAGACAGCTTTATACACCACATGGACTCTGAAGTTGCCACTTACAATTAATTGAAATTAAATATAAGCTTTAGTTTTTTAATTTATTCCATAAGCAAACATACACACGGAATTACTTGTACACTAGATGACAAATCTAAGATTATAACTAAAACAAAGGAAGTACACCACATAGCTTAACCTATAAGTTAGGTTACCTAGGTCAGATACTTGTCTAACGCGCATCTTATGAGACATGAAGACAACAAACAGGACAAGTAAGTCTGTTCAACCCCAAATCTTTTTAAGCACAGAGGTTGAAGCCACTACTAATTTCTCCTGCGTTTTCTTAAGGTAAAATCTGCACAGGACCGGTCCAGCAACCTTCCAGACAAACGCGCATTTCGAAACACCTTCCTGAAAGGCATAATCATAAACGATGTTGTAGAGTGCCAAGGCTTGGGGGTAGAGTTCTTCCAGACTTTTGTTGCTGTCTTCAAACCCTGCAGCGCCATAGAAATCCTGATACAGAGAGAAGATACCGTTCAACCGATGAGTTGGCGTTAAAAAGCATTAGATGGATAATTAACAAAAAATGTGATTCATGAAATCTATTGGTCAGATATTTGCTTTGCATTGAGAGCTTACCTGCTTGTATCTCTGGATAACTTCATTGGTTAATTGCTTCTTCTTAACCTTATCAGTTTCCTTCATCGCTTGGGACATTTCAGCTCTATAATTCTCGTACCAGGATGTAAATTTATCCATGTGAGACTTAGGGACCGGTTCATCTTCAAAATACCAGAGTTTACTGATTTCTGAATTGTAACATACAATAAAGACGTAAATACATATTCGAGATGATGAGTTCTTGTGTACTCTGATTATTGATAGAAACTAGAAGATCCGTACCAGATGGTGGGGGTTCCTCTGCATTATGAGAATCCACAGTGTCAAAGATTAATCCAAGAATAGAAGTCGACCTGAAATCTCTCTTAGGGTCACGCTCCATGTAATGTGGAAAATTTTTGATCTCTAGGTCGGGTGGGAGATCAACCTTAGCCCCCTTTTTTGGTGCATCAAGAGCATCATAGTATATATCAATCAACTTAAGAATATTCTTCTTCCTTTCATATTTTTCCTTAGCACTCTCATCTCCTAAGGTGAGGAGAGGGTCCATTATTCCTAGCCAGCAATCTGCAGCCATCCCTATAACGTCTCTGTAAACCGTGAAAACAAGGCATATGTTAACTAAACGAACTATTGAGAGCTTGAAAGTAAGCCGACAATTAAATTATGTACCTCTTACAAAATCTTGCTTTTAAGAACATTTTGAAAAGCTCTTCTTCCAACTCTTCTTGTGATAGTTCACTTGGCTTTCTTCCAGAGTAAATTTTACTAGGTTTAGAAGAACTCACCCATGGTTCACTTGGCTTGAAGTATTCCAGTAGCTAAATAGACGAATTACGGTTCATAGGTCAGGTCTCAGCAATGAAGAGTTTATTTTCAAATGGGATGGATATAGCAGAGTACCTTGGGATTTCTGGATATGAAATACATATCGCCATCAAAGTCACCACCAGCAATCTCATCACCCAAGGATCTCGGACCTTTCTGAGGGAAGAACACAGCATACTTGGAATTTCCGACATAGTCTTCTAAGGCCTTAACATATGTAGCCTTAAGTACATGTATGTCTCCAAAATGTAATCCAGGATTTCTGTAAACTAACACATCACCGGAAATTTGGCCAGACTCGCTACAAAACCATGAAAAGAAAGCAGTGAAAATGAGCAGCTACTTGTAGGGAAGAACTCATAATTCCAAGGAAGCTAATCACTGTTTTTTATGTTTCCATGCAAAACTCAAAGCGAAAGAGAAAGAGAAGAATTTGCTAGCCTACAGGATGACACAGACTTCATTTTCCTTAAGCTTCCCGGTGGGATCCACTGTGCCCATGAGATAGTATGATTCGTCAATAGGAAGCCTTCCTGCTTTGAGAGCATTCCTCTCTGTATTTAAGAGATAACACAGACAATCCTTCAAGTATGGTTCATCAAGGGGGATACCAACCAAGATCATTTCTGCAATGTCCTGGTCGTCCAAATCCCCATAATTAATGGCAGCTGCACAGAAAAATGAACTTAATAAGAAGACCCATCGAGTTTCTCCTCAAACTTCCGATCATATTTAACTCCAGGACGCATATTAAGTTGGTTTAACTCAGTAGTTTCAGGGGTGGTAATAAATTGCAAACAAACCAGAAAGCTTTAAGGTTCTTAGCACCTTTAAACGCAGCACGTTCACTGTAGAATATGGTTTTGGACTCTTCCAATGTGTTGCGCAATATATTCAAAAAGAAGTCATTAGGGACTCCTCCATAACTAAGCAGCGCGACCAAATTTCTTGATAGCCTCGCATTTCTTGGTGGATTACTAGAAGATGTAAACAACTAGAGATCAACAAAAATATATATATATATCGAGCGAGAGGTTCAGCTTCAAGATAGTAAGAATCCTCGAGACAGCTACCTTGTAGTGACTACCTCCAGGGAGTTAAAGGTACTAAAATTTGACATGGTTCGATCTTCAGTCACCTTGATCATAGAAGGCCGAACCTGGACAGTCCGAGGAGGAAGCTGCCAAATAAAGGAGAAAACTGAGGAATAGCTTGCAAACCTGATTTTGTTACATGAAAGAGAGTTGGCTTACTTTCTTGTTTGTGAGAAAAGTTCCCTTAACAGCATAGCCATTATAAAACATCCGAAACTGGATCAGCAGAGGCTTTTGAAAAAAACGAATTGTTACTACTTTTAAGTGATAGAAAAATACTGAATCGAGCGCTTAAACGTGGAATATAAACTACATACCGGCTCTTGGCCACATGGTCCCTGTCCTTCAAAATTTGGAATCTTACTCTTGATCGAAAACAAATAAGAAACAAACATAATAAGGAAACAAGAGTGACGAAAAGGCAATTAAGCAACCATCAAATAATCAAGGAAGTACAAGAAAGACCTGAATATTGTTTCTTCTCATAGATTTCCCTTTAAAAATATTAACTGGACACATTCGAGCAAGGTCCTCAGAGATGTAGCCAGTTCCATCTGAATGTATACAAGGTTTCCCATTCTTGTCAAGAACATCCTTACCATCTTGATCCTGCAATTGTCAGAGAGGCAAAGGGTCAAGGCACACATATCGAATACAACTAAATAAAGGCATTAGAAAGAGACACAGCTCCTGAAGAAAACATGTATTAAGGATGTACATGGCAGTGTATATCAGCGATTTGCTCGAAGGTAATTCCAGTCATATCAACTTCAAGCGTTTTAGTCTTTGACAGAATTAAAGAAAACCTGAAGCATCAACAAAAGGTGACTCTGATTACAAAGGAGGACATCTCAAGAGTTGAAAGATGAAACAGTAGAATATCTTCATATGCTTTCAATAGAGTACCTTGCCATATAGTTGGGCAAAGATGACAAAGTATTCACATGCATAAAATGCATACGTGCTTCATGCATTGACTTTCCGGAGAAGATATAGGGGTTTCGCATATCATTTGAAGCTGTCGAGTCTGTGCGTATAAAGTAGCATTTCACTCCCTTTGTAGCAACATCTTTCTTCTTCTCTTCTTTCCCTCCATCTTTGAAAACTGTTTTTAAAGGAAATGTAAACAAGTTACTATATGCAGTCTTAAACACAAAGATGATCTGCTGTGTGTTGCTAGACATGGCATTAGCACCTTAAAAATGAAAAGTGTTATATGCTCAATAAGAGATATTAAGAAGGAGAAAAGACCCACCAAAAAATCGATAACGGCGTAACCCAACCATGATACCATTCTTAGCAATCCCTTTGTATGTAGAGTAAAGGTCATTACAATAGGTTTCCACGCCTAACATTTTATCGAATTTGACGGTTAAAACGTTATCATCACCCAAAACCTTGTGCAGGAGTGTTCCAGTATTCTCCAGAAGATGACCCTGTGAACACAGTCTATCAATAAGTAACAATGTATTAAGACACTGTCAAGGACTCTATCAGAATAGTAGGATATACACATTTATTAGATACATGATAGCGACTTGCAAACTAATTAACAGCTTCTAGTAGTATCTCTTGAATTCAGATCCTTTCAAAACAAAGAACATTTATCAACACGTGAAAATGCAAAGATGAAAGACAGAGCTTAGAGAGGAGCTTGAACCTTGAATTTGTAACTACCATCGGGAGCAACATGACATTGATAGTAATGAGTCTTCCCACTATCCCCTTCAAGTGGCTGGGGAAAGAAGCATTTAAGAAGAAGCAATTAGTAGAAATTCCTCATAAATTGCAGCAGTTCAAAGGAATTTGCAGTATCCAACAGGTCTCTATCTATTGTCAATTCACTTAAGAAAGTACATGACAAATAACAACTAGTAGAACAGAACATAGAGAACTGCCATACCCTTCTTCGCTCCTTTGGGGGACAATAACGCTGTCCCAACCGGTTCCAAACCTCTGCTTCATATTCAACCATTGGCAAATCCTTCCATTTTCTGATCTCATCACCAGATATAACCTCCTCAACCAGGGATTCCCTATAAAAAGACGATCACTTTCCAAAGAAATAGATAAAAAGTGATGGAAAAAGGTCTCAAGCCTAAACATACCCTCCAATATAGCTAAGCAACAGAAAAGCCTTGTTGAATTCAAGTTCACCAAGAGCTAATAGCGGAGAAATGTGCTTAGATCCTCCATTTTCTTCTCTTCTCAAGAACTTAGGAGATGGAGTCTCCAAATCAAGAGACACATCTGCTACAACAATTGACCAATAGTCATAAATAAAACTCTAAAGCATATAAAACAACACAACGCCGAAGTAACTCAGAACCCATTAGATACTGACCTTGAAAAAGCCTACAACTTTTTTTCCCAGGAGTTCTAGGAGAGCCATCAACAGTGGCCGCATTGTTAACAAAATACATGATTATCCCATCGAGGGTCTTCACATAGTCCATATTGAGAACTTTCCTGAGTGTTTCCAAAGCCAATTCCTCAGAAATCGAAGAAAGTTTCCGTCTTGTCTCCACTTTTATCGGAGGATGATGATTGTGTTTCCCGTAGATTTTCTCCAACATGGTTTCAACACTACCCAGAAGAACGATCTCTGTCCGCGGAGAAACTTCATCGCAGCCGGTAGTCGTCATTTTTATTTCCCCCACAAATCAGAGTCAGTGTCTATCTAGGGTTCATATATATAGCCCCACTGGGAAGAGAATCTTGTTCAACTATGAAATTGCTTTTGCTTTTGCTGCCATTTTCTCAAAGTTTCTTCCTTTAGTTCAAAGTTTTGTGTAAATCTGTTTGATTTGACTACACGAAGATTTATATGCAGTACACAATATGCAGTATGCATTAAGTTGTAAAACAAGTCTTTTTTTCTTCTCTTTTTTGAATATAATTTAACATCTATTCAAAAAAAAAAAAAAAAAAAAAAAAATTCTAGCCGTTTATTAATTTTTTAATTTTTATCCAAAATGCCCAACTATGACTACTATATTTACAAATCTGCCACTACTTTCTCGCCACCGCTGTAAACGCCCAAGTAAAAATCGCGTTTTTCGACATTGTCATTGCATAATCGCGAATTATATACTTCATTTTGCTTCCAACTAGTAGACTCTTGTTGGTTCAAGGTTTTAACTTATGCACATTCATATCATAAGTTTTAAAATTACAATAACACACCTGCAGAGGTAATTAATTAATTTAAAAGGTTCATTATTTATTTAACATATTAATATTCATTTAATAAGCATATTTATTCACAAAAAATCTACATTTAATAAGCATATTTTTACGGTTTTGGCGGAAAAATGCTGATTTACGGTTTTGGCGGGAAAACATCAATTTGTGGGAGAATTTTTTTTGGTGATAAAACGCAATTTTTCGATTTTGGCGGAAAAACACGGTTTGCGATTTTGGCGGAAAAACGCGGTTTTATGTATTTTAAGAAATGTATTTAAATCAAAATTTTAATTTAAGTAGAATAATTTAGTTTTAATGTATTTAATATATTGCTCTTTTATTTTAGTTATTAAGATATTAACATTTTCTAATAAATATAACTAATATAAATGGACTTAAATGGATACTTATTTATTTGTGTGAAACCCCATTTAATAAATGAGTTTAAATGGGTTAAATTTTTTTATACATACCCATTTATTAAATGGGGTTCCATGCCCAAATTAACATCCCTATTCTTAGGTGACAATTTCACGTTCATAAAATTTAATCACCTGAAATGGAACTATAGCAAATCATGTTTCTGTAAAGAACAATTGGGAAACATATATATATATATATATATATATATATATATATGTGAAAACTAAAACCACATTCAATTTGCGATATAAACACAAGAATACCACATTCTAAAATCTGATCACCAGAAAACGGAACTGATGACATCATCATATGTGTAACATCTAACCCATGTTCAAAAAATCTCTAGGCGCTAGTCGGACGGTGAGGGTGGGCCTAGCGTCTAGCAAGAAAATCGGAGATTAAACGGGGATTAATCGGGGACTAGTTTTAAGGCAATTTAATATTTTAAAAACATATTAATCCATTATAAATAAGAAATTTATATAATATTATTTTCAAAATTGCATTAAACACATGAAAACAAGAATTTAAGGTCAAACTTATGATTTTTATATAAATTATAAACATAAGTGGGACGCTTAACGCTTTGAATTTTCGATCAAAAAAAAAAAAAGTAAAAGAAAAAACAAATTGGGCTAGGCGTCGTCCTAGTTATGTTATAATTAATGTCGCTTTTGCTTGCCTTAACGACAGTGAGACGGCGAGCAGTAACCATCACACACGAAGTTTGGTCCGTTGTTTTGAATAATATTTTAACAACAAGTAAATAACCATAAATAGTAGATACTGACTAAGATCCATGTCACGTTTTAATTTGCCATGCCACGTCGTGTACTTTAATTATATGATTGCATCTTCTTTTTACTTTAACAAACTGCTTTCTGTTATAAATAATAACTAAAAGTAGATAAATATATCTATATATTTGAAGTAGTATTATATATATAATATAAAGAGAATAAAAGAAACAAAAGAAAGAGAGAAAAACGAGGGAGAGAGAGTGAAATGAAAGCTTTATTACTCGACTTCTCTCTACATCTTACTTTTAATCTTTCGTACAAAGCAACATATATATAGGAGAATAAAAACTTGGTGATTAAGCTACTTCTATGCTAAGCAGTGGCGGAGGTACGTTGAAGGGAGGGGGTCAACTGACCCCCATAACTTTTATGAGTTTTTTTTTTAAGCTTATACAATTACTATTTGATGAGTTATTTAGTTAGAATCATATCGTTTGACCCCTATGAACATATCTCAATTCCTCTCTTTGACCCCACGTCAAATTTTTCTTTAGTTAATCATTTAATGCTTTTACTTTTAAATACATAATACTTAATCCTTGATCTTTAAACTATATTAGTTTTCATGTTTTTCTTACTTAAATATATAATTTCTCTCTTTCTATATAAAATAAAATAAAAAATTTGTATACATGTATATTTTATATGAAAAGATTGGTATAACATTTTCAAAAACAACTATAATTTATAGCAACAATAAACATTATTCTTACTTTTTGAATTATAAAATTTTATTCTGATCAAAAAGGAAATAGTATTATCTAGTCATATTAATATATGACCCCCGTAAAAAATATTTCTGGCTCCGCCACTGATGCTAAGTAAACAATAGATAAGAGAGGAAGTGGATAATAATCCGTAATGGATAATTACCATTTTATAACACTCCTCCTTAATTATCTATTACCATTAACGTATTGCGTACTGCTTCGTTAAAAACTTTATCATGGCAAAACCGTATAGAATAAAAACTATGATAAAGGAAAATAGTACAATAACACAATCTTCCCCTGGAACCAATGGTGGACACAGAAAAAATATTTACCCAGGTCATATAAATATGAAACTATATTATTTCATATATTGCATAATAATATTATTCAAGTACAATGAATCTGGAAAAAATATTGTGGTTTTTACTACTTTTCGACCAATAAAAATATATATAAAACAAAAGAAAGGAAATAATTTTTCAATAAGTGTCATATCGGGGAATCGAACATGGGTAATGGGGAGTTATTTAAGTACTCTTATACATAAACACAACTATAATTATTTTACCTAGGTCACTTGACCTTCCTTTCCCCTGAATGGGTCCGCCCTTGCCTGGAACAAACGAACCTTGTTTTCTTTATAGGTTTCGTAGATGATGCATCTCGATCATTCTCTTTGCTTCTTCTGATCTCGTCAATGTATGACAAAGATTTTTAAAGAGAGATAGACCTTTACTTTGATGTCTATATTTTGCGTGTTATTTGTTGCCTCGTTAAAATTATTTAACAAGTAATTATTTAACACGAAGTTTGGTCCGTTGTTTTGAATAATATTTTATCAACAAGTAAATAACCATAGATAGTAGAAACTGACAAAATAACCAATCGGACCCTTGATACTTTACTATTCGGACAAACTGCTTTCTGTTATAAATAATAACTAAAAGATGAATATATATCTATATATTTGAAGTAGGTATATATATATATATATATATATATATAAAGAGAATAAAAGAAACAAAAGAAAGAGAGAAGAACGAGGGAAACCCTAGAGAAACTCTCAGATCTGTGGCCTGGAAGTCACTCCGGTGGCCGGCGATTCTCGTCGTCACCGTGAGTGGCTTTCCCTCTTTCCCTTGCTTTAACGTCGTGTTTCAGTTCGTAGAATTTGGGAATTTTTGACCTTCGTTTGGGGTCTCTCTTTGGTTGAATCGGGTTTCGATGTTGGCGATCTCTGCGGTAGCGGTCTTGCGGGTCAGATCTGCTTGGTTTAGGGCTTCTGTGAGAAGGATGGTGTCGGATCTGATGGATCGACGGTGAGATTAGTCTGTAATATTGCCATTGTTTTTGCCTTTCCTTGAACCAAATTTGACTGTCGCACATGTGCTCTCCATCGTTTTGATGCCGCCGGCGTGGGTTGTGGGTGGTCTCTCGTTAGACTTCTCGGAACCTTTGTCTTTCCGCTCGCTCGTTGATGCTTTGATTTATATTTTTGAGTCCCATTTGGATCGTTTCCTATCTAAGCTGAGGTCTTTTGTGTGATGATTGTGCTTGGTTCCAAGTTTTCAGAATATTTCCTTTCTTTGGTGGAGGTCCTTGCGGTTGTTATCTTGCTCGATTGCGTGGTCTCGTTCATGCGAGCAATGTTTTTTGAGTTGGGTAGGTCTTGCTCCTTGTCTTGGCAGTTCCGAATCTGGTGAGATCGGATTGCTTTTATGACTTTTATTTAGGCGCTCCTTGATGCACCATCGTCTTTGCCGCATCCGGAAGTGCTTTATGAGGTTCAGTTTTGGCCTTTACTTGCCGGGTTATGAAGTCTTGGTTACTGGGTTTCGAGAGATCATCTCTCATCGTGATAGGAGGAGGCAGAAGTTATCGATGGGTTGGCCGTGGGCAGTATTGGTTTTTCTCATTCGCAGGTTCCTCTTTAGAAAAGGCGGTTTTTGTGCTTGGGTTGAGTGTTTTTATTCGGGTTTAAGTTTGTTTGCCTCTATTCTTAGGTTTTGGTTTCGATTCCTTTCGCTTTCGGTTTAAAAATTTCTGTCTTGTATTGTGTTCATGTTTCCCTTGTTTAGGGCTTAGACTCCGGAGAATTATCGTTTTCTTCCGGCTTAGTTTCTGGGGACTTTTCTGTTGTCCGCCGGCTTAGTTTCCCTTGTTTGGGCGTTGTATTTTACCTTGGTTCCTCAACAAGTTTCAATAATAAAATTTCAGATGACAAAAAAAAAAGAGAGAAGAACGAGGGAGAGATGAAAGCTTTATTACTCAACTTCTCTCTACATCTTACTTTTAATCTTTCGTACAAAGCATCATATATATAGGAGAATAAAAACTTGGTGATCAAGCTACTTCCATGCTAAGTAAACAATAGATAAGAGAGGAAGTGGATAATGATCCGTAATGGATAATTATTATTTTATAACACTTTCTCGTTTTTAGTATGTTTTTCCTGCTATTTTCCTTATTCAATTGCAGTCACCATTCAGAATGTCAATCATTGAAATTTTTTTTATCTTCTATTGATAAAAACTGTTAACATTTG